AGCCATCATTGTTGTTTTGGCAGGCCCGGGCTAGATTCGAACCCGCCACCTTAGGTGTATGTGGCTGGCACCTTAGCCACTTGAGCCACAGGCGCCAAGCTTGATGATCTAATTGTTAACTTATTTTTAAAAACTGAAATGTACATTAATAAAACTTCTCAAGTTGATTAACAAAGTGAGTAGCATAACCATCAATGTCTAAAACACTACCAGCATCCCAGAAGTCTACTGTACACAATTCCCTTTGAAAATATGGCAGCATATTCATTAAAAAATCTTGGAATACACTATAAAGATTTCTAGAAATTAAATATAAATGGCTTTATTGGGTTCTAATTTTTACTGCCACAGACATGTATTTCTTTCATAATAAAAACTATTAACTGAGTTATGCCAGGCACAATGGCACATGCATACCTGTTAGTACCAAGCAACTCAAGAGGCTAGGAGGAACAACTGAGCCTAAGAGTTCGTGGCCAGCCTGGGCAACACTGTGATACTGTCTCTTAAAAAACAGATAAATAGGGTCATGCCTGGGGCTCAGTGAGTAGGGCACCAGCCCCATATACTGAGGGTGGCGGGTTGGAACCCAGCCCCAGCCAAACTGCAACCAAAAAAAAAAAAAGATAGATAGACACATAAGTGCTTGTTAAATTCTAATGAGATACTGAATTCCTATAAAACAAATCCCCAATATAGGTCTTTATTGTCTTTAGAAGATCCTTAATATTAGGTTATTAAGTACAGAATGCCTGATTTCCAAGTTTGACAGTTGATATCTGACATTTCACTTTTTTTTTTATTGCCAAGGTACATCTTCATCTTTTCAACAATACATTTTGGCTTCAACTATTTTTTTAGAGCAATTTAGATAAGTCAAAAACCAACTAATGTAATTTTTTGGGTGTAAGTTCCATTGTGGAATTCAAAGCAGTGCAAACAGCTAGAAATATCAATGAATTGTTCAAGAAGATGTGGCCAAAGAAATGGTTTGAGAAGTCTCATTCTGGTGATTTTAAACTTGAAAATGAGCCATATGGGCATCCTGAGACCAAAGTGGATAATGATGAGCTGAAAGCTGTAGTGGACACAAATCCATGAGTTAGTAGCAAGGTTTGAAGTTGCTATTACAACAATATTGGACCATTTGAAACAAATCAGCAAGATAAAGAAACTGAACAGAAGGGTTCCATATGAATTAAAGGAGCACCAGAAAAGACACTGTCCTAAGGCTTTTCTTTACTGTCATGACATAAAAGCAAAACATTTCTACACTATATTGTTATATGTGATGAAAAACGGATTCTTTTTTGGAAATTGCAAGCACTGGGCACAATGGTAGAATACAAATCAAGTGCCATACAGGTATGGTGGCTCACACCTGTAAACGAAGCACTCTGGGAGGCTAAGGCGGGTGGATCCCTTGAGCTCAGGAGTCTGAGACCACCTTGAGCAAGAGTAAGACCCATCTCTACTAAAAAACAAAGAAAATTGGCTTAGCTTCTAGAGCACCACCACAAGCATCAGTGCTGGTGGGATTGAGATTGGCCCAGGCCAGCTACATGACAACTGCAATAAGAAAAGAGCCTGGCATTGTGGCAGGTGCCTGTAGTCCCAGCTACTTGGGAGGCTGAGGCAAAAGAACTGCTTAAGCCCGAGAGTTTGAGGTTGCTATGAGCTGTGATGCCACAGCACTCTACTGAGGGTGACATAGTTAAGACTGTCTGAAAAACAGAAAACACAGCTTGGCGCCTGTGGCTCAAGTGACTAAGGCACCAGCCACATACACCTGAGCTGGCAGGTTCAAATCCAGTCCGGGCCCACCAAACAACAACGATGGCTGCAACCAAAAAACAGCCGGTGTTGTGGCGGGTGCCTATAGTCCCAGCTACTTGGGAGGCGGAGGCAGGAGACTTGCTTGTGCCCAGAAGTTGGAGGTTGCTGTGAGCTGTGATGCCACAGGACTCTTCCCAGGAAGAAAGCTTGAGGTTCTGTCTCAGAGAAAAAAAAAAAGAGAGAGAAAACTAGCCAGGCATTGTGGTGGGCAGCTATAATCCTAGCTACTTGGAAGGCTGAGACAAAAGGATTGCTTATACCCTAGAGTTTGAAGTTGCTGTGAGCTGTGACACCCTGGTACTCTACTGAAGGCAACGAGGTGAGACTCTGTCTCAAAAAAGGAAAAAAAAAAAAAAAAAAGATGAAGTGTCAAAACACAGTCCAAAACAAATTATTCATCAAAAAAAGGTAATGGTGCCTGTTTGGTAATCCAGCACTGATATCTACTACAGGTTCACAAAACTTGGTCTATCAATTACAGCACATCTCTACTGCAATCTGGATGACATAAGATACCTATGATTAAGCAGCAGAGTCTTTTTAATAGACATGTGCCAATCCTCTTGGAAGACAATGCTATTGCACAAACAACATTACTCAAACTACAGAAGCTGGACTTAGAAATTCTTTGTCATCCACCAAGCCTTATACCAAACAAATGACTACCACTTCTTTCAGGCTTTGGACCACACTTCTTGCAAGAAAAAATATTCAATTCTCAACAAGCCATGGAAAATGCCTTTTGAGATTTCATTACACTTGCTTTCCAAGATCCTCCACTACTGACATACATAAGCTTCCATTAAGATGGCAAAAGTTGTGTTGACAGTTTAGAAGCATACTTTCATTAATTGTACTACTTCTTTTTCTGAGATATAATCAACTGGATTTTTGATTTGAAATTGGACATTTCAGATTTAATGACCCAATACAACAGAACTTCTGTAGGTTGACCACGAAAGAGACTGTTAACAAACAGAGGTGGTCAACATAAGGAACTAGGCCTAATGTACTGATGCATAGATATGGTACATGTCTGGTTTATGAAAATTAGGTCAGCTCAGCTCAGCGCTTGTAGCTCAAGTGGCTAAGGCTCCAGCCACATACACCAGAGCTGGCAGGTTTGAACCCAACTCAGGCCTGCCAAACGACAATGACAACTACAACCAAAAAATAGCTGGGCGTTGTGGCGGGCACCTGTGGTCCCAGTTACACGGAAGGCTGAGGCAAGAGAATCGCTTAAGCCCAGGAGTTGGAAGTTGCTGTGATCTATGATGTCACAGCACTCTACCCAAGGTGACAGCTTGAGGCTCTGTCTCAAAAAAATTTTAAAAATTTAAAAAAAAAAAAAGAAAATTAGGTCAACTTAAGGAAGTGGTCAATGTAGGGAGGTGGTCAACTATAAAGGTTCTACTGCAGTTTCACCGACATATTCTCCTGCTACTATGTATAAGCAACTCTATGACAAAAAGTGGATTTGTCTCTTTTGTCTATTTGCCTTAGCACACAAATAGTTCTCGTATCCGTAGGTGTGAAATCATTCATACTTGAATCAGTACTGCTTCAAAATTGAAATTAAACTGCTATTTAAAAAATGGAAATTAGAAAATTTAGAAAAATTAGAAAATGGAATAAAAATAGCATTCTAAATAGATAACTATAACAGCAACAAGAGAATATAGCTAACGGGTTTGGCATGTAGCCACTCTTCTTCCATTTCCCTCTTCTTCCTTACCCCTGAGAGCTGCCAGAACTATTCAATGGACTGGTCTTCATAGCACTAGTAGGTGAAGGCACAGACATGCTGTTATCACTGTCCATAGACAAGTCAAGGCTGCTGTCATTCAGAGCTGTCAATCTGACACCTTCTGTTGAATGCTGCAATCAATAAAACATTCAATCAAATATATCTCTATGTCATCATATCTTTGAAACATGAAAAACTTTTACTTAACTAATATATGATTTCTACTAAATAGCACAAATCACTAAGTTTATGAAAATCAGAACTGGCATGCTGATTGCAAAGCCAGAGATTTGAAGTCACATATTTCCCAATTTCTAAGAGGGTTTCAACATAACTACAGTTCTTATGTAGAAGAAAATAGGAGAATGAAATGCTATGTTAAATGTACACACTAACTGTATAACAAAATTCAAGAACTAGTGTAATATTAAAACATGTATTTTGAATCAAAGGACTATAAATGTATATAAACACATAAATATGAAGGAAAAAGTCCTAACTGGCTGGGCATCTGTAGCTCAATGCTTAAGAGCACCAGCCCAGAGCACCAGGGGTGGTGGGTTCGAACCTGGCCAGGGCCTGCTAAACAAAAAAAAAAATAGAGAGAAAGAGAAAGTCTTAACAATAAACATGACACTAACTGATTCTCTTTGGCTAATGGGATGTAAAAGGATATTGTTTATAGATTTCTAATTATCCCACAATGAATATAAAGATTATGGAATTTTTAAAAGTTATCATGTATAATTTATTCCCATTCCTTACTACTAGTATTTGTCAATAAAATGAGCCTCTTTCAAAAGCAAGAGATTTCTACTGCTCTAATAGCAATTTAGGATTTTAAGATGGTATACTGAAGAGGATAAACCATCCTGTGAAAATGAAAGCAGAAACAATTTCTGAAAACTACGTAATACATATAAATCCTCATGTTGGTTCTCCCTAAAAACCAAAGCACTCTAAAAACAGATAATGCAGGGGGTGGGGCACTATGAATGGTCCTATGAGATTAAAGATGATTTCTATAGCGCCAAGTTTTAATTTTTCGCTATTTAGTACTATTATAATACATTGATTTCTTTCTTTCTTTTTTTTTTTTTTGAGACAGAGTCTCATCATGTTGCCCTCAGTAGAGTACCATGGTGTCACAGCTCACAGCAACCTCAAACACTTGGGCTAAGTGATTTTCTTGCCTCAACCTCCCAAGTAGCTGAGACTACAGGCGCCCGCCACAACACCAGGCTATTTTACTGTTGCAGTTGTCATTGTTGCTTAGCTGGCCCAGTCTGGGTTTGAACCCAACACCCTCAGTGTATGTGGCTGGCACCATAACCACTGTGCTACAGGCGATTACATTGACTTCTTTCAGGTTCAGAAAAAGAACCATTTGAAAGAAATGGTTCAAAAAACATTTTTTTTCAGAATACATTTAGCCTCAGTGTTCACTTACCTAACAGAAAACATTTTAATGACAATTTACACTGTTGACAAAAACTCACTAGGTACATACATGTGTGTATGCATAAATGCTCTACTCTCCAGTTCCCCAAATGACAAGACATTCTTTGATTTACTAGAGATGCCACTTACGTACATAAATCAAAACTGATTAAATAGAAAAAATGAGATTTGGTAGAAGACAAAGGAGAAAAGAGTAATGCCATTTGTTCATAAAGTCAGTTGTGAAACAAAAGCATCTAATATTCTAAATCAGGCGTCCTCAAATTGCGGCCTGCCTACAACATTTATCTGGCCCACTGGGTGTTTTTGCCACTGCTGCCTGTCCTACTTAGCAGCCAACTCATCCCGGGGCCCACAGTCCAGCCCGCCAACAGTCTGAGGGACAGTGAACTAGCAACCTATTTAAAAAGTTTGAGGACCCCTGTTCTAAATGAATCTCTCTCTTATTCAGTGATGCTACCAATCTAACTTTCCACCAAATATGAAGACTATTTTAGTAAGTAAATTACATTCAATTCCACACAGTTACCTGCCTGACCAGATGACCAAACACCTGTTAAGATAACATGCCAGTGTTGCAGATAATCTATGAATGTGAAAGTTTTAAATAGTCTAAACTAAAAACACCAATAAGCTGCTTTGCTTGGCTCAGTATTGATGTCAAATGTGGCAGCAAGAGATGTTAATCATAAATAAAACTTTTTTTTTTTTTTAAGAGACAGAGTCTCACTTTATCACCCTTGGTAGAGTGCCATGGCATCACAGCTCACAGCAACCTCCAGCTCTTGGGCTTAGGTAATTCTCTTGCCTCAGCCTCCCGAGTAGCTGGGACTACAGGCGCCCGCCACAACACCTGGCTACATAAATAAAACTTTTAATAGTAAATAAGACAAAGAACATACTCCAGAGAGAAACAAACACACATACTTTACAGTCAGACTTAGGTCCCATTCATAGTTCACCCTACACGATCTTGGGCAAGTTTCTTAACACTCTATTTCTTCTAATACGCTATTGCATTGCTGGAATATTAAATATAAAAAAGGACCAGAACAGTACTTTGCAAACAGCAGTTAATAAAAAGAAGCTATTAGTAAGAGTCCAAAGAAACTAGTTATGAATCTAGACTCCTATATATTTGTAACTTAAAAAAGCAAGAAAGTGGGCGGTGCCTTTGGCTGAGTGAGTAGGGCACCTGCGCCATATACTGAGGGTGGTGGGTCCAAACCAGCCCCGGCCAAACTGCAACAAAAAATAGCCAGGCATTGTGGCAGGCGCCTGTAGTCCCAGCTACTTGGGAAGCTGAGGCAAGAGAATCGCCTAAGCCCAGGAGCTGGCAGTTACTGTGAGCTGTTACCTCCACAGCACTCTACCAAGGGAGACAAAATGAGACTCTGTCTCTAAAAAAAAAAAAGCAAGATAAAAACACAAACTTGGAAATAATCTAAATGATCATAAATAGAGGACAGATTTAATTGTACTATATCCATTCAAAGAAATTTTAAATCATCACTAACAATGTAATTTGGATAAAGATCATAATATATAAAGGACAAAAAGGGTAGGTCACGCAATGGGAAGTTTCATCAAAAACCTTTTTATAATATATACTGAATGTGGTAACATGTACACTAAACATGGTGTGTAGAAATAAGCTGAAATAAGAATAGCTATTATCGGGCAGTGCCTGTGGCTCAAAGGAGAAGGGCGCCGGCCCCATTTGCCAGAGGTGGTGGGTTCAAACCCAGCCCCGGCCAAAAACTGCAAAAAAAAAAAAAAAAAAAAAAAGCTATTATAGCAAGGTAAGATTATAATTGCTTCACTTGATATATTAGAAAAAATGTTTTTTAAAGCAAGAAGCAAAGTTTATTGAGGAAGAGAAACGGAGACTTACAAAATAAGAAAGCTTAAAAAGCAGGACATAGCAAACAGGCATCCATTGCCAGTATAAGCAGGCAAAAAGGCCAAAATATAAAATTTTTACACTAAACCAATACATTGCTGGTCACTAATGATTCTCTTTATATTCTGTTTCTGTATAATTATAGATACCACAATAAAATAAAAATAAAAATGTTATATTAAGATTACTTAATAATACATACATTCTTTGAAATATCAATACTGCAATATAAATACTAAGCGTTTGAAAAGGTAATCTGAATTTAGGATTTGGAAAAAATTAACTACCTCAATTACAGTAATATAACAGAAAAAGCAAAGTTCTAAAGAATGTAACCTTTGGCCAGGCTTAGTGCCTCACTCTTGTAATTCTAGCACTCTGGGAGGCTGAAGCAGGTAGATCACCTAGCTCAGGAATTTGAGACTAGCCTGAGCAAGACCAAGACCTAGTCTCTACTAAAAACAGAAAAACTAGTGGGGCTTTGTATCGGGTGCCTATAGTCCCAAATATTCAGGAGGCTGAGGCAAGAGGATCTCTTGAACTCAAGAGTTTTGAGGTTGCTGTGAGTTATGATGCCACAATACTCTACCCAGGGCAACAGAGACTCTGTCTCCAAAAAAAAAAAAAATTAACCTTCAATTTTATGCTCACCTCCAAAAATATATAAGATACATATTTATATATTTTTATATGTAGTGAATCTTCATTTAAATGCAATTGTTTTAACCAGTTCAAGGACAAAGAAAAGGCAAATGTCTGACTTGACACTTCAATTTAAAATTGTTTGATGTCAAGTTTTACAATAAATAAATAAATGAAATTCTTTGAGAAAATAATAGTACATTTTTTTGTCACTTTTTACATTATTTAAGTCATGAAATCATTAGGTTAAGAAGAGAATTTTTTAAATTATCTACTTAAACCGGGCAGCGGTGAGTATGGCGCCAGCCCCATATACTGAGGGTAGTGAGTTCAAGCCCGGCCCCAGCCAAATTGCAACCAAAAAAATAGCTGGGTGCTGTGGTGGGTGCAAGAGAATCACCTAAGCCTAAGAGCTGGAAGTTGCTATGAGCTGTGATGCCACCACACTCTACCGAGGTGACAAAATCAAACTCTGTCTCTTAAAAAAAATAATTTACTTAAACCATTAAAAATGGCATTTTAGATCCCTCCCCACACACACAATAAAACTATGCACTTATCTCCAAGTTGTTTACTATCAGCACTTGCTATATACCAAGAACTAGTCTAAACCAACTAGTCTAAACACCTGTGTTGGCTAGCTTAAATCCTCACGATATACCTAATGACAGGTTAAGTATTATTGTGATTTTAGAGATGAAATAAATCAAGAACAAGATATTTGTTATACAACTTGTCAATCTCACAGGTAGGAAACAGTGGAGCCTGAGTTTGAACCAGGTAGTCTACTCCAGAGTCTTTTCCTTTAATTTCAATGCTTTTGTACCATAATTGTCCTACATGTTAAAAAACAAAACAAAGAGTTGAAACTCTTTGTGTAATTATTTCATTCTTCTTGCAACCCCATCCCAGACAACCCAATGTTATCCTGAATGCAGTGGTTATCATTCTCTAACATAAACTTATTTATGTTTATGTAAGTTCTTAAGTAAGTTCTTAACTTAGAAAGATTACCTAAAAGTTGAAAATGATACATATACACCTACATTTTTTTTACTTAATATGACATATGCCGCTATAATTCATTTACTTTTATAAGGTATTCCATTATAGGAATAAGCCATCTATTTTTGAAAGCACTTAAAGAAAAATGTAATTGTTATCTGTGCACTAAAATTCTAATATGTCCACTATAAGTAGGCCAAGTGAGGAAAAAAAATGGCTTTCAGTTATTGAAAAAGAAACACTAAATACTAGAATGACATACTAAAAAATACTCCTTCTGTATAGTATTCTTCTATACTCTATATTCCTCTATCCTCAGGAACTGTGAATAAAACACATTTACTTTTTTTATATTCACCAAGAAAAGCCATTTTCATTTTTTAAAAGTCTCACATAGTTAGAATTTATTCACATATTACCTTACTAATTGAATTTTACTTACTTCTTAAAGAAAAAGAAACTAGATGCTGATATGGGATTTTTAAATGAATAAGAATAAAAAGCCTTTAAAAGATAATATGGGTACATACAAAGTAAAGATATGAAGTACTACACTAATCCTTCTGAAGTGTAAAGCAAATGTGTCCAAGAAAACTGATTAGAGCGAGATTTTATATAATGGAACTGCTCCATATAAAATATTTTGAAAATGCTGTCATCTATTTCAAATAAGACTTATTAACTGAGACTAAATTCTGAAATACACTGATACCCCAGAATGCATAAAACATTGTTAGTAATGCTTTTGTAAGTACTTTCTAAATTTACCTTTTTCTTTTTCTGAAGCACATGATTAGGTAGTAGTTGATGGAGTTGCTTTCTTTTTACATGCATTGCAGCAATTTTCATATCCACCTCAAACATCTTGCTGTTTATTGCTTGCCTATAAACTATACAATTAGGAAAATGTTAAAAAAAAAAAAAAAAGAAAGAAAAGAAAAGAAAGAAACATTTTAATAAAGGCAGTTACACTCACTCCAGAGAAAGCATTCTAATCAGGGTTCCTTTTGCTATCAATTCCACATATCTGTAAATTTATCAGGTCAAGACTCATCTCTAATGTGGCAGAATTCAATGCCTGAGCAAACTCTCCTTTTAGCACAAGGTGTACATAATGAATGAAAGTACAAAATATATTAATTCTTTCAGTGCATTAACTCATTAAAAAGCCTTTAATGTAGTAACTTTAAGAAGTAATTCTTTATGAAATGGTACAATTAGAGAAAAAAGATTTCCTAAATCCCAACCCTTTTAAGGTATCATTATTATTTAAAACTTTATCCAAGTATAGAACACATGTAGTAAAATGGTCAAAATAAATCAATCTGCACTATTTAGTTCTAGAAGGCCCCAAAAGGAAAAATTCAATGAGTCATACAGAAAATATTCAATGAGTACCTACACTGTATTAATGTTGTTCTAGACAGTGGAGATAATAGCAAATAACAAAGGAAACCAAAAGAGCTTCAGAGAGGCTACATTCTAGGAGGAAGAATAAAGAAAAAAAATTAAGTGAAAATAAGCACTCTGGAGAAAAAACTAAGTAGGGAAGAAGATGGGAAGATCAGTCTGGAAGCTGAGTCGACATTGTTACTAAAGACTTAAACGAATGTGAGGAAGTGAACTGAGAGCACCTGGTAGAATAGCATTCCAGGAGGAGTCAACATCAAGAACAAATATGCCTGGAATACTTGAGAAACAACAAAAATGCAAACGGGGAAGAGGAAAAGTACAGATCCATAATCCGTTATCTGCAACTCTAAAATCCCCGAAACTCTCAATATCAAAATTTTTCCTAAGATTGGCAACAAAACTCATCAACAAACTCTGTTCTAAACTATCTATGGCTATTTTAATGTATCAGTGGTTCCTTGTATTAATGTTACCAAATACTGATTGAGGGCCCAGTAAGTAGATATTATTACTTTTCCAACTCTTAAGACAAATGGAAAAAGGATTGTGAACTTATAATAGGAGATGAGCTCAGAGACATGAGAAAATCAGATCAAGTAGAGGGGGCCAACACTAATAAAGACTTGGACTTTTATTTTCAGTGAGATGGGCAGCAGTTATAAGTTCTAAGTAGGTGACACACAATCTGGCTTAAAAATGTCATTTGGATGCTAACTGAAATAGTTGCAGAGGGGTAAGGGCAGAACAGGAAGACTATGACTATGGCAGTAATGCAAAAGCTGGGCAAGGACAAGAGCAATGGAAAAAGTAGTAAGTAGCAAAATCTCAATATTCTGAAAGACAGAAAGATTTTATAATGGATTGATATCAACCAGGGAAGAAAACAAATTAAAGATGACCAGTATGAACAACTAGAAAAGAAGCTGGAGGGGATGAGGGGAAAAAAAGTATATTCTGAATATGTTAAATTTGTTTCATTAAAAAAAATTCCACATAGCCAAGCATGGTGTCTCAGGCCTATAATCCTAACACTCTAGGAGACCAAGGTGAGAGGCTCACTTGAGACCAGGAGTTTGAAATCAGCCTTGACAACACAGTGAAATTCCATCTTAAAAAAAAAAAAATTCGACAAAGTACCCCATTAAAATGTTTCATGAGCCCCAATAGTTAGGGCACTGGCCACAATACACAAGGGCTGGCAGGTTCGAAGCCAGCCCAGGCCTGTTAAACAACAGAGACAACTACAACAAAAAAATAGCCAGGGTGACTGGGCACCTATAACTCAGCAACTAGGGCACCAGCTACACACACTGGAGTTGGAAGGTTCGAACCCAACCCGGACCTGCCGAACAACAATGACAACTGCAACCAAAAAACAGCCAGGCATTTTGGTGGGCAACTGTAGTCCCAGCTATGTGGGAGGCTGAGGCAAGAGAATAGTTTAAATCCAAGAGTTTGAGGTTGCTGTGAGCTATAAATCTATAGCACTCTACTGAGAGTGACATAGTGAGACTCTGTCTCAAAAAATAATAATTATAAATAAATAAAAATAATTTTAAAAAGACTTTAAAAGTAATGATCTTGATAGTTCATTAGTACATTCATATTTAATAAAAAGTTGAACTTTATTTGATGTAATATATGAAACAAAATTTTTTTTAAGAGACAGTCTATGTCGCCCTCAGTAGAGTGCTGTGGTGTCACAGCTCACAGAAACCTTCAACTCCTGGTAGGCGATTCTCTTGCCTCAGCCTCCCAAGTAGCTGGGATTACAGGTGCCCACCATAACACCCGGCTATTTTTTTGTTGTTGTTGCAGTTTGGCCAACGCCAGGTTTGAACTCACCACCCTGGGTATATGGGGCCAGTGCCCTACTCACTGAGCCACAGGTGCTGCCCTAAAACCAATTTTTTATCTTATTTTTATTTATTTTTTGTTGGCGACAAGAATGTCACTCTGTCACCCTCAGTAGAGTACCATGACATCATAGCTTACAGCAACCTTATACTCTTGGGCTCAAATGATTCTCTTGCCTCAGCCTACAAGTAGCTGAGACTTACAGGCACCCACCAATGTCTCTTTTTAGAGACAAGGTCTCACTCTGGCTCAGGTTGGTCTTGAACCTGTGACCTCAGGCAATCCATCTCCCTCAGCCTTCCGGAGTGCTAGCATTATAGGAATGAGGCACTGTACCCAGCCAAAAGAAATTTTTTAATTCAAGTATCTTCCCATGACTTGTTAATTCTTAAGTTATGTTGACATGACAATCTTTACTTTAGGAAAAAACACTTATGTAGTGTTTAATAGTTGGTACATCATCATACATATAACATACCAAATATCTACAGGGTTATTTTTGTTATTAAAACAATTAATAGGCCAGCACAGTGGTTCACACCTGTAATCCTAACACTCTGGGAGGCCAAGGCAGGTGGATTGCTTGAGCTCAGGAATTTGAGACCAGCCTGGGCAAGAGTGAGACCCTATCTCTACTAAAAATATAGAAGTAGGTGGCGTTGGGAGAGATGCCTGTAAGTCCCAGCTATTCAGGAGGAAGGCAAGAGGATCACTTGATCTCAGGAGTTTGAACCCAGACAACAGAGTGAGAGAGTCTCAATAAACTGAACAGTAAAACAAAATAAAGTAAAGTAAAATAAAATAAAATGATTAATAGTTGCTACTAGTTACAGACAATAGATATCCTTCAATGGACAGTTCTGCCAAAGAAGAATTGTGCCACGAACTACGTTCCTAAATGTAAAAACCTACTCCACAATTAATGTGAACCAAGAATTTAATGCAACATTACAAGTATTTTTTTTTTTTTTTGAGACAGAGTCTCACTATGTCACCATCAGTAGAGTGCTATGAAGTCACAGCTCATAGCAACCTCAAACTCTTGGGCTTAAGTGATTCTCTTGCCTCAGCCAAGAGCTGGGTCCCTCTTGCCAAGTAGCTGGGACTACAGGCGCCCACCACAATGCCTGGCAACTGTTTTTTTTTTTTCCAGTTGTAGTTGTCATTATTGTTTAGCTGGCCCGGGCTGGGTTCGAACCCACCAGCCTCAGTGTATGTGGCTGGAGCCGTAGTAACCAGTGTGCTACAGGTGCTGAGCCAATATTACAAGTATTTTAATCTCAAGTTTCTAGGAAAACAACACAAATGTGTATCATAATTAGATCTTTTATTTGCAACTTTCACTTTAATCATGTCACTTCACTGAAGCCAATATTCCTAATATTCCTGGTGCTGTAAGAATCACTAGAGATAACACCTATTATCAGTCAGAATTCACAGATGTCACGTTGTTAAGGGATTCTACAAAAAGTACCATCACCTAACACTTAAGTATGTCTTCTAGTGTCATACCTAAGCATGGAAACACTAAAATGATATTCTTATCTTTTATTTCTCTTTTTATTACAGCTAAGTGTATGAGACTTTTTTTTTAACACGTTATCACCAATATTCTCCTATCTTCTAAGTAGACAAAAAAGTTTTAATGTCTTCAGGGAAAAATTCATAGTGGACAGATAAAAATACCACTTACAAAAATTTTTTAAAACAAGGAGGAAGGGTACAATGTTAGAAAATAGGAAGAACTGTGCATCCCCATATAGTCTTAGTCTCACTCCACCAACTGGTCTTTAGTTAAAAAATACTACCTTTCACCCCCGAGTACAGTTCAATGTAAAATACAGACTCATCACCCTAGTCCCTGTCCATGAATTAACACCTAAATCTGTATTTGACACGCAGGATAAATTTCTACCAGTAACCAGAAGTTCAGCTTTATCAATTTCTAAAGTTCAAGATGCTTAAGGCATTGAGACACAGACTCTTTTAGACAACCATATTATACTCAAATTGTTTCTAATTTATAAAGAACTGTGGACAAGCCAAGTTTAAAACAGTCCTGCTTTAATGTCCATCACGAGAAAAAATCATTTACATACAAATTAAATATTCTTCTAATCTGAAAATCCAAAATCCAAGCTGCCCCAAAAATCTAAAACTCTTTTGCGCTCCAACATACCACTCAAAGAAAATTCTCATTGAAGCCCTGCAGATTTCAAATCAGGAATGCCCAACCAATGAGCCTAATGCAAATATTACCAAATGCCAAACAATACAAAAACATCCTTAATACTACTTAGTCCCAAGCATGTCAGATAATGAATATTCAATCTATTTGATATTACTGAAACTAGTAACTAATACAAAATCATTATTTTGATAATCGTTTTTTAACATTCCAAGTAATTTCAACAGTGATTCCAAATATGGTATGACGTACATCAAGAAAATTCAAATATGCAAGCATCTCCTGTTTTGATTACCCAAGTAGAGACATACCTGTGTCTGTGAAAGATTGAATATCATAGGTGAGATCAACACTCAGGTTTTCAGAGTTTTCTGTTTTTTTAAACACTAACCCAATCACCCACATTGTGCGAAATTCTTCCCTGGAAAGAAGAAAATTATCACAGTTTATAAGCATTAAGAATGAAAACTGTTTTGGGCCACAAAGTAAATAAAACTCTAACGAAAGCTAATGAGCAAATTAAAGGTCTGCGTAATTTGTGTGATACATGACACCACAGATAAGCAAAACAGACTTCAAATAATCTGGGTGGCAGACTGGGCACCCCGCCTCTAAGCCCAGTCTCAGGTGGGTGCAATGGCTCACCCCTATAATCCTAACATTGTGTGAGGCCAAAGCAGGTGGATTGCTTAAGCATTCCAAATCAGCCTGAGCAAGACTCCACCTCTAAAAATAGAAAAACTAGCCAGGGACAGTGGTGGGCACCTGTAGTCCCAGCTAATCAGGAGGCCAAGGCAAGAGGATAGCTCAAGCCCAAGAGTTTTAAGGTTGTTGTGAGCTATAATGATGCCTCGGCACTGCACCCAGGGACAGTGAGACTCTGTCTCAAAAAAAAAAAAAAAACAACCTACTTTACTTAGAGTCCTTCCCTAGACCTAATCTCTTTATTTCCATTACTATATAAACAATCATAATTCTAGGACAAATACAATCCTACAACTGCAGATTGATACAACTGATAGCCAATGTTCTTAATAATGATTTAAAAGTACCAAAGGCACTTCAATCAAACAAAAAGTTATGTTTAAACTAAGGGGTAGAAAAGAATAAAGCTGTTTAGAAAACTCTGAAAGAAAGGACCTTCTGGCTCAGCACCCATAGCACAGTGGTTACAGTGCCAGCCATATACACCGAAGGTTGCAGGTTCAAACCCAGCCTGGGCCAGCTAAACAAGTGCAACAAAAAAACAGCCAGACATTGTGGCAGGCGCCTGTAGTCCCAACTACTTGGGAGGCTAAGCCAAGAGAATTGGTTAAGCCCAAGAGTTGGAGGCTGCTGCGGGCTGTGCCACTACAGCACTCTACTGAGGGTGACATAGTAAGACTGTCTCAAAAAAAAAAAAAAAAAAAAAAAGGATCTTCTAAATAAACATTTAACTTGGACTTTATATAACTTTTTTGTTCAAGAAGTCTGTTTTTATTTCCATATCTTTTCAGTGGTCCAAATAAATCACGAATCAGATTTTTCCAGGATCAAACCAAAATGCTCCTTTTTAAAGAAAATTAAAACAAGCAAAGCCTGATACATACTACACAGTAGCTATTCCAACAACTATTACACAAAAAATGAGAAGGAATGTAAGGAAGCAATGCTAAAGACAGCATTAGATTCCATTATCAGAAAATGTTTATTTCATTGCCAATTTTTCTCTTCAGTGTTTCTGATCAGGAAAACTGTTATAAAATCCAATTGTTTCAAAGCCATATATAATCCATAGAATAGTTTAGTAGTTATATAAAACCTGCCTCTAAAAGCTTCTATGAACAAAAGTTGATAAAAGGAAGAGATTAGATTAAATTAGAAGAGTGCTTACTTGTCAGGATTTTCTTTAGGTGCTGGAAATGACTGGGGATTGACATGAGCCAGTGTAATAAATTCATTCTTTTCCAAGCTTCCAACTAGGATTCGAATTTTTGATTCCACCAAGCCCACCCTGAACAAATGTCATTTAGTATTAATGAAAAGTTTTGGTTTACTTAAAAAAAAAATCAAATGCACAAAATCAAATGTTTAAGAAGTTATATAAAGATCACAAATAACTTAAGACACACACCACAGTAGTTCAGTTGGCTGAATCCCCAAAGACAGTAAACCAAAAGCTTTATCTCTACCCGAAATTGCTGAAGTGGGGGGAAAAGAGATCTAAAATATACTTCATTCACTAGCAAGGTTACAAAAGTTATCTCCACAAGTATTTAAAGAAAAATCAGCAAGCTAAACCAAAGAACCTTAAATAGTTAAAAAATGATATGTGGACCTCTATAAAACAAATGAAAAAGTAATGTGTATATGAATCCACTAATTTCTATACTTGTAAGTACTAAAGTACCCATTAGGAACAGAACAAACCAAACTCGATGTTTTAAGGACTGCCTCCCATTTCCTACGTTGTTTTGTGGCTATCTGATTCATCGACGTTTATTTTTTTCTATAAAGTCTAATTTTATACTCACCATTCTAGGCGTTGTTTTTCTGTTGGTGCACTTGCTAGAAGTACAATATAATGCCTTTGAAGATAAAGACAACATGCTATTTATTTTATTTACCTGCTTTGTGCTGGATATTAAACCATTACGTTATAAGCGTCCTTATAGAACATCAGTTTAGCAAGGGGGATAACAATGTTACTATGCACGTAAAACAACATGCTGTATTCTACATATTTCGATGTACTGGCAATTTTAATTCCTCTGTTAAAGGTAGTGATTTTGAAAATAATTAGCAAAAAAGTACCTTAATTCAAGAAGCTTTAATAAACATTAATAACTGTGTTCAATGACACAGGTAGAGTGTTCAACCTATAAAATTAGAGTTGTTCACTAAAATGTAACCTAATACAACAAAAAATGTTTCAATGGCAACAAAACACCATGGCTCTAGCCACAAAGACATATCACTAAATATACATAATGCAACAGTAACTTCCAAAATAATGTGAAACACGTATTTTCCAATTTAAATTAAAAGGTAAAGAAAATTAAACTGAATACTGAAATTAAGACGATGTGACTTTTCCCAGGTAACAATATAAATTTCTTACAAAAGGCTTGGTGCCTGTGGCTCAGTGGTTAGGGTGCCAGCCACATACACCGAGGCTGGCGGGTTCGAACCTGGCCTGGGCCTGCTACACAACAATGACAACTACAACAACAAAAAAATAGCCAGGCATTGTAGCCGGCGCCTGTAGTCCCAACTACTTGTGAGGCTGAAGCAAAAGAATCACTTAAACCCAAGAGTTTGAGGTTGCTGTAAGCTGTGATGCCTCAGCACTCTACCAAGGGCAACATGGTGAGACTCTGTCTCAAAAAAAAAAAAAAAAAGAATAAATAAATATATTTCGGATGAAAAACTGATATCACTAATATGAAAGCAACAAAGAAATCTGATTTTGACCTGAAATTTAATCCCAAATTAGAGAAAAAACAATTGAGAAAATATCATCATGACCAAATATGAGTCTTTTCAAAATGATTCACTTTCCTAAGAAAAAAGTTCACAAAGCCAACTGTCATGATTACTACTTAGTATACATACTAATTTAGAAAGTGGCAGTATAACCACAATTTAAAAGTTTTAGTCTTTACTGAGGATAGGGCAAGGAGGCTCATACCTATAATCCTAGCACTCTGGAAAGCTGAGGGAGGTGGATGGCCTGAGCTCAGGAATCCTGGGTAAGAGTGAGACCTTGTCTCTACTTAAAACAGAGAAATAGGGCAGCACCTGTAGCTCACTGTGTAGGGCACTGGCCAGGTACACCGAGGTTGGCATGTTCAAACACGGCCTGGGCCAGCTAAAATAATAACAACTGCAACAAAAAAAAATAGCTGAGCATTGTGGCGGGTGCCTGTAATCCCAACTACTTGGGAGGCTGAGGCAAGAGAATAGCTTGAGCCCAAAAGTTTGAGGTTGCTGTGAGCTGTGATGCTACAGCACTCTACCTAGGGCCACAGCTTCAAACTTGTCTCAAAAAAAGGGGGGGTAGGGGGACGGTGGTGGTACCTGTAGCTCAAAGGAGCATGGCGCTGGCCCCATATACCAGAGATGGCGGGTTCAAACCCAGCCCTGGTCAAAAACTGCAAAAAAAAAAAAAAAGGTCAGGCATTGTGGTGGACACCTGTAGTCCCAGCTACTTAGGCCAAGTTAAGAGAATCACTTAAACCCAAGAGTGTGAGGTTGCAGTGAGCTGTGATGCCACAAAACTCAATTGAGGGCAACAAAGGGAGATCCTGTCTCAAGGGAAAAAAAAAAAAAAAAGAAAGAAAAGAAAAATTAGCTAGACCTTATGGCAGGCACTTGTAGTCCCACCTATTTGGGAAACTGAGGCATGAGGTTCGCTTGAGTCCAAGAGTTGGAGGTTGCTGTAAGCTATGATGACAACATGGCACTCAACCCCAGGGTGACGGACACTGTCTCAAAAAAACACAAAAGTCTTTGCTATATTCTCAATCATATTTTAAAAGATTTAGCAAAAGTCTGACATACATTCAGAGAAAAACTATAAACTGTAATTCAAAGAAAACTGTTTAGCTAAAGAAAGGATATTTTTAGGTAAGATTACTAAAAGCTTGGCAACATTAAGCATTTTTTTAACAACACTCCTTTTAAAGAGTCCAATTGACTATTAATTATGCTCACAAAGTATTTGAAAAATGCTTCGAATTCTTCAGAGCCATGTAACCCTAGACAATCCTAAGTCTTGTGTACATGATCTGTAAAAGGAAATAACAGTATCCATCTTATTGGCAGAAGTACTGTGAAGTTCAACTGCGTTAACTTCAAATGTATAAACCTAAGGTAACATGGGCAAATATATAAAAACAAGGTACATATAGATAAGTCAGTATATAGTCCAAATCCATACAGACCAATACTTCCTTTACCAGTTTAATTGTTCAGCATATTTGGAGCAAGCCAAATACAGAGAAAACAACAGATGGCCCAAAGAAGTCCGTCAACAAAAGTTACATAAAAGCAGTAAAAGCTCATGCATTTTATTTGTAGAGAAACCTATACTCAGAGTTGCAAATGCTCTTAAATCAAACAAAATCCTAATAAGCTCGGTATAATCTAACTTATAGGTCCATGATATTTAGAACAGGGAATCAAAGTTTTAATAAAGGTAAGGGAAATAAGCTCTCTCACTAAAGTATAACAACTCACAACAGGAGACAACAAAGCACAAATCAGGCATGAGGAGAAAAACTCAAAATGGAAATTCTTAATGACCACCTGAGTCTTCAACAAAACCTTAAATGATACACAATGCTCCCTATTTATGAAGGAAACATATACCATCCATTTGAATCTAATTTTGTTGATAGTCCAAAGTTTAAAGACTAGAAGCCTATAAAGCTCAACTTTACTTCTTACTGAAATGCAAGGGGAGAACATCCATGGGGACCTTATACATTTTTTTATGCACAAATGTGTATGTTTACATATAGTTAAAAACATTAAAGTAACTCTAACAAGTATTTATTATACTGAGGTTAAAAGCCCTTTACTCAGTCACTTTTAAGCAAATTTGAATTAAGATATTTAAAATGCAGTAATTAAGCTTAATACAAATAGCCTGCAGATTATTTTCAGTGGCTCATACAAAAAACTGAACAGAAAATTCCACCTTTACTCTGTAAATACCTTATTTTCAAAGTTTAAAAACTGGGATTGAGGCTTGGGGGCCCACAGCACACCGGTTACAACACCAGCCACATACACCAAGGCTGGTGGGTTCGAACCCAGCCCAGGCCAGCTAAACAATAACTACAAGCGGGGAGGGGAGACAATAGCCAGGGGTTGTGGTGGGCGCCTGTAGTCCCAGGTACTTGGGAGGCTGAGGCAAGAGAATTGCTTAAGCCCAAGAATTTGAGGTCGCTGTGAGCTGTGACGCCAAGGCACTCTACCAAGGGTGACATAATCTCAAAACAAACAAAACAAAACTGGGATTGGTATTCAATCCTTAACATCCCTTTCATAGCTGTAGAGGTATGCCTAAATATAAGTATGTCTAAATGTTTCTTTGTTATACAAAAAAGTAACCTCTTTCCAACTGCCTGTTTAAAAACTATCATACTTGCTCAAATGATTCCATGAGAGACTTTGAAGTCTTATATGCAATTGCCATTACTTTTCCCCCGAATTTGAGAATTGTTACCAATAAAAATTTAACTATGTGTCCTGAAAGAATCAAAACAAAGTCCTAAGGACACTTAACCTAGTTGCTTTATTATCTAAGCTATTTTAAAAAATTCTGTAACTGAGTCTCTGGGCCATTTCATGTTTATATTTTACCTGGGAAAATCGTAACTAAGATACATACAACAAAAAATTTACTTGTCTCTCAGTCAAAAGCACTTACAATTCTATCCTAAAGAATTCATAACCAAGAGTTACAGTTCATTATCTTAAATTTTTTTAAATAGGTCCCCTATAATCCTAGCACTCTGGGAAGGCCGAGTTGGGTGAATTGCTTGAGCCCACAAGTTTGAGACCAGCCTGAGCAAAAGCGCGACCCCATCTCTACTAAACATAAAAAAACTGAGAAAGAGGATTGCTTGGGACCAAGAGTTGGAGGTCACTATGAGCTATGACATCATAGCACTCTACACAGGGCAATAGCTGGAGACTCTGTCTCCAAAAAAAAAAAAAAAAATTATTTTAACAAATATTAACACTTGGCTCAGCACCAGTGGCATAGTGGTTATGGCATCAGCCACATATACCAAGGATGGTGGGTCAAACCCAGCCCAGGCCAGCTAAACAGCAATGACAACTACAACATAAAATAGCAGGGTGTTGTGGTGGGTGCCTGTAATCCCAACTGCTTGGGAGGCTAACGCAGGAGAATTGGGTAAGCCCAGGAGTTTGAGGATACTGAGAGCCGTGACACCACAGCATCCTACCTAGGGCGACATAGGGAAACTATGGCTCAAAAAAAAAAAAAAAAAAAAAAAGGCTCAGCGCTTCTTCCTCAGTGGTTAGGGCACCAGCCACATACACAGAAGCTGGCAGGTTCGAAACCAACCCAGGCCAACTACAACCAAAAAATAGCCAGGTGTTGTGGCAAGGACCTGTAGTCTCAGCTACTTGGGACACTAAGGCAAGAGAATCACTTAAGCCCAAGAGTCTGAGGTTGCTGTGAGCTGTTTGACACCATAGCACTCTACCAAGGGTGACATAGTGAGACTCTGTCTCAAAAAAAAAAAAAAAAATGCTAACAGTTTTATACACCCATACTAGAAATGACATTGTCCTTTGCCTGAATACCTCTCCTTCCTCATTCCCTAATAAACTATAACATCCGAAATAAGGGTCCCATTGCCTAATGTTAATTATTTTGCTGCTAGTTAATTTATTTTGCTGCTAGTTATTTAAGTGTTAACATAGTATCATGAAGGAGAAATACAAAAACAAAAATAATTTTAGGGCACAGTGGCTCATGCTTATGATGAAGCTGAGGTGGATGGACTGCCTGAGCTCACAGGTTCAAGACCAGCCTAAGCCAGAGCAAGACCCTGTCTCTAAAAACAGATGGGTGTTATGGCAGGCGCCTATAGTCCCAGCTACTTGGAAGGTAGAGGTAAGAGAATTGTTTGAGCCCAACAGTTTGAGGTTGTTGTGAGCTGTGACACCATAGCACTCTACCAATGGTGACAAAGGAAGACTCAAAAAAACCTAATTTTAGGGCTCTTAAAAACTTCATGAACAATGTTATCCTTTTTTCTCAAGAACCCAAGGGCGACAAAGTTAAGACTATCTCAAAAAAATAATAGTAATTTAGGACTCCTTAAAAACTTCATGAAACAATGTTACCCTTTTTTCTCAAGAACACTGATAGCTCTTTCTGGAATATTAGTTTGTTTTAAGACAAATTTCCTCCACATTCTCCTCCCTTTAAGAACAGTGAGTGTATTTCACGTGATTTAAAATCCTACACATAACAAATGGCAATACTTTTAGGATAGGCTGTAAAGGTTCAATCAACTTTCATGCAAGGAAAAATTAAGGATTTCAATACAGTTGTATTACCAACCTACAGGGTATTTCATTTGAGGATACGTCTTAAAAATGCAGATTTGTAAATACATTCGAAAGCTAGATGATAGCAATCAGTGTATCTTAAAGGGACAAATTTTTGAAGAATTATAAATACAATGTGTCATGAATAAAATTAGCCCATTGTCATATTTAAGTTTTCCTAGGATACACAGCTGAAATTCACATTTTTCTAATATAATTTCCTGTCATCTATTGTTTCCTGTTATCTGTTTTTGATAATATAAAAAAATTTGTTTCAAGAAACTTTGGGAAAGATTACTAATACATCATCTTTTAATCAAAGGCCTTATAGGTACTATGTGCAAAGATGAAAGTACAGTTTTAAACAAATATTAAGCAAGCTTTTTAAAAATCACCAAAGTTGTTAATAATGAGAATTTATTCAAACAAAATGATACTGTCAATGTTTGTTCAACCTCAACGTTAACCTTTCTTAAAGTGAAGGAACCCACTTAAGTACATATTTAGAAATCTCATTCTACCCATCTTAAACCTGTAAGGAAGTGAGAGAAGAATCACTTCATCTCTGACCTCAGGAATTAAAAGATGCTGAAACTTTTCTGTAAGACCAAATCCTTTCTTCTTCTCCTTAGATGGATGTAATGTCCCCCTTACATTGTACTTTTAAAATTATCAATATATGTGTTTATTAGCTTAAATGCTAAGAGGTACTTCAACACTGGTTAAAATAAAAAAAAATAATAATCTGCCAGATGGAAAGCACAATTTGTAGGGAGTTAAGTAATAAAACAAAAGCATTCAGTATTACACTGTTTTAATTTTTACTGACAACATAATGCTCCCAGAACACAATTACTGGCTCCATTACTACTTTTTCATGCAAAAGATACAGAAACAAAACACAGAGACATCATGAAGGTCATCATTCTTGTTTTTAATTGGGGAAACAGCATAAAGCAATCTTGTTTAGATTACAAAACACAATCCAACACAAGATCAAATGATTTAAGAAAGTTTCAGGCATTAAAAAAAAATTTTTTTTAAGTGGGACTTTTGCAAGTTTTCAGCCCAGGGAGAATAAATATGCAAGTCTTTGTTTTTTGGCTTTTGCTTTTAAATTTGATTTATTAAATTTACAATTTTCATCAAACCTAAAACCAGAATTTTAACCTGGACTAAAGTATTCAACCATTACACATGCAGTAAAACCACTATTAAAAATTACTACACCCACATAGATCCCAAGAAAATTGTTTATAGAAATATTTCAAGGGGCTTTAATGACATTAGAAGAAAATAAGCCAAGAATATGCTTAATATGCAGTAACTGTTGAAAACTTTTAATTGGCTATATATTTACCATTAGCTTTGTCTACATTATAAGGAATCTTAATAACAAGTTTCCTGAATTAGATAAATAAACTTAGGTTTTGTCTTAGAGACTATTTTTTTTTTCCGTCTTAGAGACTATTAAACTACAGATTTTAACAGTTCATCTATCTGCCAATGTATATTGAGTTACTGTTTTGGTCATGCTGACACATGGCTTACTGAACTGATGTTGCTACAAACCTAGTTAGGAGTTCAGTTAGATTAGATTGGACAGAAAAATTATAGAGACTTCCAATTACCCTAACACCCCCCCCCCCAAAACGAGTTTACTAAAAATAGTATGTCCTTTGTGACAAGAAGGAAAATTCTATACAAGTTTAAAGGAAAATATCAAAGATCAGTCTAGAAAGAAGAGATGATATAGTTACTACCATTAACCCATTACTTAAGAAAGCAACATGTCCGACATGCCTTAAAATACATACTTGTACTTTTGAAAGAAGTTTGGAGCTTCAAAAAGTTTGGACCACTCTGCCTTACTCAGCAAAATTTCATCTGTGATAGCAAGACCTAAATTAAAAACATATTAAAATGTTTGCATGCTTCAGTCTAACCATCTAGAATTTTAAATAATCTTAATCATACCACGTGCACTCACTATAATTCTAAAACCAGAATTGTAACAGTGTTAGATTATGACTTTAGAACATTTTATCACACACATACACACTTTTCAAAAAAAACTGGAAGATTGAGAGCCAGGTTTCTGGTAAAGTACTATTATTCTAAAATGCCAATGCTCATGGAATGACTTTCTCAGAAAACACTGCAATTACCTAAAAAAAATTTCCCATATGCTTTATTGCCTTTCTAAAAAAAGGGGATGAGGGTTCCTACTGTTTTTAAAAGTACAGAGGCATTTTGCCATGAAAAGCCTCTTTAGGCAATAAGAAAAGATTTTAAACTTCTAAATTTAATAAAGCTGCTGGTTGAATAGGTGATTCTATCTTCTTGACTGCTTTCAGTTAAACCAAAAGGTCTTATTCCAGTTACTTCCCTCAAAGAACATTTGGTAACAGCTACACCTCCAAATACAACTAGACTTCAAAAACACTGAAAGATTCTTCTAAAATAATGGTTGGTCTGGTCTCACTCTTGCTGAAATCTCTTTCCTAGGAATATACAGCCTGCTAAGCATCTGTCACCCAGTGTAGACAAACTATTATTCTTAATTTTATAAAGCACTACTAGTATGGCATTAAACCAGCTCTTTATGGTCTTCACTGTTGGTTAATGTTTCAACTTACAAGAAAATTAAATTGCCTAAAAGAAATTAATATTTTTGGAGTCAATTTTCAAATATATACCAAAATAAAAACCAAAATCCACTTCAGTGAATGCCTCTTCAATTACGTTGCATGGCTGACTACTGGGTCTACAAATGGTACGTAAATCCTTCCTGTATAAAGCAGAGGATAAACATAAAACACTTACCTTGTTTAAACTCCTCAACCATGACCATCCGTGTTGAAACGGACACATTGTACGTGGAGTTCTGTTGTGGGTATGCTGGTGTAATTATAGGCATAAGATGGTACCTATCACTGGGGTTTACCTACATACAACAACAGCCAATCAGTTTCTTCAAGTACATATGCAACAGATACTTGGACTTTTTACCCCTTGTTAAACTGAACCAATGATTAAATTGTTTTATTTCATTCATAGCTGGAGTTAAGAAAAGAAAACCATGTAAGGTGACACTTTCATAGGAAATCTTCATAGAATCTGAGACTTGTTCAAAACTAATGATTTCTTTCAATCACGGGCATTTGGCATCCTTACTATAACAGAAATAGTGTGCCTGCTGAGCAAAAAAAAAAAGGTTCTCTTGGGAAATTTACTGATGTTTAGTTTTTCTTTATTCAACAACAGAAACGGGGATGTACACACAATTACACTTTAAAGAAATATAACGCTACAAAATGTTCTGTGTAAAACTAATTTTAAACAAGATGGAAAGCTAAATTTTCAATATACCCTTAAGTTATAGGAGTTCAAGTTTATTAACACCTGGTGAAGCTACATTATCCATGTTGACATCATTTTCAGAGATAATGCAATGGTTTACTACATGTTAATCTATATACTAGTAAGTGGCATACTTCCACAAAGGAAATTTTAAACTTATGTTCTATAAAATTAAATGCCTTGAGGTTCAGAAAACTTGAAAAGATACAGCTTAACAACAGAAGTTAAAATTTTTGGTATTGTAGAAAGCTAAGAAATTTAGAAACTCGGGCGGCGCCTGTGGCTTAGTGAGTAGGATGCCTGCCCCATATACCGAGGGTGGCAGATTCCAACTCGACTCCAGCCAAACTGCAACAAAAAAGAAAAATAGCTGGGCGTTGTGGCGGGCACCTGTAGTCCCAGCTTACTAGGGAAACTGAGGCAAGAGAATCACCTAAGCCCAGGAGCAGGTGGTTGCTGTGAGCTGTGACACCACAGCACTCTACTGAGGGTGACAAACTGACACTCTATCTCTAAAAAAAAAAAAAGAAATTTAGAAACGTAGTATTTCATAAACCTATAAAGTCTTATTCAGACCTAAATTTCTTGATATTAATTTATAAAGTACACATTAATATTTAAAATGAGTACGGAGTAAACGTCATAATTTCCCAAGAAACAATAGAAACTCTTTAGCCCAACCTTTTTTTGTAATCTCTGAAATCACTAAACAAATTTTTACAATTATAATTTAAGTGGTAACTACCTGTAAGTTATCTGCCACATGTAAACATTGCAGCTTTCCTACAACCACCCAATTTTCAACAAAATGTTTAGATAAAATAAAAAAAAAAAAAACAGGGATTTTTAGTATCCTTTTATTTTTTTTTAAGCACAAATACCCACACAACTTTGACTTACAAGGTATTTCTATATAAATTGTTAGTAAAATTTGTATTAAAAACTATGTACAATTAAATGTGGTTTACAGGGTACATAATTATGCTTCTCACATCAGAGGACAATTATAGCTGAGGTTATCTAAAAGAAAAGTGTCATACGAACATGTCCACTCATACATAAAAGGCTGGAAGTCTCCCTGGAGTTTATGTAGATGATTTTTACTTGTTATTGCACAGTGTGAATTTGTAGGGGAAAAAATAATACACTAACCCTTGGGTCCCATACAGGCAAATTAAGATTGCATTCTTCGGGCTGTTTCAATAGCACTGGATTTGGCCATTCCCTGTTTAAAAAGATTGTAGCACTTGATAAGACTATAGGATATTACCAGCTAAACGTATTTTGTTAAACATAAAGCATTTGTGATGTGATCCTTCTTCATTCATTCTGCCCTCATGGTACTCACAACCTTATTCCTTTCTCTCAACATTAAACTATTCAAATTACTTTTCCCTACAGAAAGTAACTTATCCATTTGGTAGCTTTCTCAGACTGAAGTCAAACATGTTCTCTGCCTCTGAATTTGTAAAGGACCCAGGGGTGTCCAACCTTTTTTTCCTTCTCTGAACATTGGAAGTATAAGGATTGTCTTGGACCACACATTAAATACACAAACATTAACATAAGCTGATTAGCAGGAAAAGGGTTGTGCATACTTATTGTGATATTGGACACCACAGATAAGGGAAAAAAGTCCTGGCTCAGCACCTGTAGCTCAGTGGCTAGGGCACCGGCCATACACTGCAGCTGACAGGTTCAAACCTGCTCTGGGCCTGCCAAACAACGACAACTACAACAACAACAACAAAGCCAGGCGTTGTGGTAGGCGCCTGTAGTCCCAGCTACTTGGGAGGGTGAGGCAAGAGAATCACTTAAGCCCAGAAGTTTGAGATTGCTGTGAACTGTGATGTCACAGCACTCTACCAAGGGCAACATAGTAAGACTGTCTCAAAAAAAAAAAAAAAAGTCCTCACATCCTCACAAAATCAGCATACTGTGTGGGCTACAGGTTGGACACCCCTGAAACAAAACACCATCACAAGATAAATGATACGTTTATTCAACAGAATAAATCCACCTTGAAAAACAAAATTCCTGCCTTTATAACACTAGTTGTACCCAAAGCCAAATGAGAATTTAGAAGTTATTTCTGATTATAGTCAAAGGGGTATGAATAAATTAGGAGAATATTTATCTCACGAAAGTTTTAACATGAATTGCGTGTAATAAAACTCTGTGGCATGAACACATTTTCAAGACGTTTTCTATAGATTAGCAAACTCAGTCCTTCATGGAAGAGATAAAAACTGAAAAACATTTCCCATTCTTAAAAATCGTTAGTGTCACAAAAATATTACCAGCCTATGTATGTGTAACATTAAGAACTCTGAGTTTCTTTAATTTTATCACCTCCAAGTATGAGTTTCACCAAATCCCAAAACACCAGAATGTGTATTAACAAGTGTGGCACAGAGGGTGGTGCCTGTGGCTCAGTGAGTAAGGGCGCTGGCCCCATATACTAGAGGTGGTGGGTTAAAACCCGGCCCCAGCCAAAAACTGCAAAAAAAAAAAAAAAAAAAAAAGTGTGGCACAGTTTTAAATTAAAAATTCTTTCCAGTAACTCTAATTTTTATAAATTATTAGGAAGTAACAACTCTTTGCAGAAGGAAGAGAAGGTGACAGTAAAAGGAATGGAAGATTTAAATCTCTAAATAAATCTGTGTAAAACCCAAGAACTCTCACCTTTTAAGCCAAACCAACTAATACGAAAGGGCAATAAACTTTTGTCTTCTTTTCTTAAGGGAAATCATGGTTAGGCCAGGCGCAGTGGCTCAGAACTGTAATCCTAACACTCTGGAAGGCTGAGGTGGGTAGACTGCTTGAGCTCAAGAGTTCAAGACCAGCCTAAATAAGAGTGAGACCTCATTTCTAAAAAATAGGCGTTTGGCAGGAACCTGTAAGTCCCAGCTACTTGGGAGGCTGAGGCAAGAGGATCTCTTGATCCCAAGATTTGAGGTTGCTGTGAGCTATGACACCATGGCACTCTACTAAGGGCAACAAAATGAGACTATCTCAAAAAAAAAAAAATAGAAGAAATAAATCATGGTTGACAAACATGAACATCTTGAAGTGAAAGAATTAAAAAAAATCTCCCCCAGTTTAATGACTAATCTCAATGGGATCATCAACTGCAAGCACTTGATGTTAATTTATTCTTTAAAAGTTTTTTGTCTGAAAGTTTTTATGAAAATGTACATCTTCAATACTTTATTACCAAAGATAAATGGACAGCTGAAAGCGAAAAGCAAAATACAAGCACAGGAAACTAATGGCCTTCAGATTTAGAAGAATTCAAAGAGTGAAAGAGGTGGGTATGTGAAGTTTTATTCAAAAGTAATTGACTTCCCTACCTATCAATAAATTAAATTTTATCAAGACATTACAGCTAAACATCAGACTTTAGTTAGAGGGAAAGTTTATGCAAGGAACTACAAATAGAATCTGCCATACTATTCTGACTAAAGTAGGGGAAAGAAATGGAGTTTAACTCTGTTCTTTTATATAAATGTGATCGCCTGCCACCCCAGGTTACCTAAATGACTACATCATGAACTAAAATTTGAATCTGAAACCAGCTGCAGAAATGTCATAGAAATAAGACTAAACTTCAGTGTCTACAATCAATTTTATTTTAATATAATCTAAACACATACCATTTAGAAAATACCAAGAAAAATTTATGTACAAGAGTTGATGCTATTGCATTTGGATAAAGCTGGCAAGTTCTTGCTACTAGCATAGCCCAGGAAACACCACCGAGGAAACCTAATATATTGGAATAGATGTTGTGGCCTGTTGATAGGGAAAAGCAAAAAGATAAGTTAGTGTTGAACCAAAGTATGAATATTTTTAATAAGCTAGCCAACAAATTCTGAACTCACGTTTGGCCCATAGTTTGATAGCTCTCAGAGTTAACCTGAAGTTGTCAATGTTTGGTACTAGATGTAAAATTTCATCGGTTACCCTGCAACCTGATTAACAGGGGTGAAAAAACAGAACATTAAATCATCAAAAATGTAATAATATCTCTATATTTTCTGAGATTGACATCAAAATTAAGTAAAAACTTTTACTTGGTAGAATCAGTAATGTTGACTCAATTAAGAGGCCAAAGAAGAAAACCTAAACCACTTGTTTTCTATCAGAAACACTGCCCTAAACCAGAGAAAGTGAACTGTAACCTCCCTAATCTCACACTGGACAGACTCATAACCAAACCTTCCTGTCAAACCTACCAAGTGTGGCTCAATCTACTGAAGGTTCCAAAAAATGTTCTTCAAGATCAAAGTAACAAGCTACGCTAATAAAAAATTATTCATAAGTAGCCCTTTTGAACTTAACAACTGATAGTATTACAAAAAGGTATGTGGATCAAAATTAATTAGTTATATAGTGAAATCCAAATCAATAGAAAAAGAACACAAACATTAGCTTTTTAAGTGTCCCAAGTACCAATAATGACAAGAAAGAACAGTGTACGATCTGATGAATAAAATAAACTACCAGTTACACTCCTCGGTAGTCTATTACATAAAGCACATTTTATTTGACTCACTATGAATTAACAACAAGGCTATTAAATCTCCATTACAAAAATTGAGGTAAAAGCAACTACTTGATGTATGATAAAAAGTGCAACTACGTAAACGGAAGTAAGCTTTGGACATACCGTTAAGACTTCTTATGCATCTTATATCTAAATTTTTAAGTAGACTGTCATCTCGTAGATCCAAATCTTCTGGAATAGTCTGCAATGCTAATCTTGCAAACAAAATATCAATCTAAAAAAAAAAAAAACAACACACAAAACTTAATATTCCATATATGTCAAGCTACTTTTATAGCATTTCTACTAAAAAAAAAAAAAAAAAAAAACTTAATTCTTCTTAAAGCCAGGATCTTCTCAATTATGAACACAACATCCCTCCCAAAAGTCTAAACTGCATCAATTGATATCAAAGGTATTTTATCACGTTAAAACATGGTAAAATGGAATGTATATAAATACCTGCCTGTCACTTTTTTTTTTTTTTTGAGACAGAGTCTCACTATGTCGTCTTTGGTAGAGCCTTGGCATCCCAGGCTCAGAGCAACCTCCAACTCTTGGGCTTAAGTGATTCTCTTGCCTTGGCCTCCCAAATAGCTGGGACTATAGTTGCCTACCACAATGGCTGGCTATTTTTTGTTGCAGTTGTCACTGTTGTTTTGCTGGCCTGGGCCGGGTTAGAACCCGCCAGCCTCAGTTTATGTGGTTACATAAACTGTGCTACAGGTGCCGAGCAACCTACCTGTCACTTTAATCATGCTTAGTTTGACTGATGAAGTTTGTTAAATGCATCTACTGGATTTAGTATGTTTCCTAAATGCATAAACTGAATTACTTAAACTAAACAATGTAGTTCTTCTTCCATATAAATTGTAAATTGATCATATACTTAAAAGGCACTCACATTCTTATAGTTAGCCTCAAAATACCTCTCAGTAGAAAGGATTACATATCAGTAATAATACAGTATGTTTTCCCAATTTAGTTTTTTGTTTGTTGTTTTTCCCCTAGAACTCAAAGCAGAATCAATAATTTTTGAATAAAAAGAAACAAAATAAAAACCCTATTTGAGAAAAGCAAAACCTAAATAAAACAGTCAGAGTTAAGATAAGTAATGGTACAAACTTATAAAATCACTTTAAAAGGAAGTATCTTAAGAATATATTATGCGGGGGCGGTGCCTCTGGCTCAAAGGAGTAGGGTGCCGGCCCGATATGGCCCCCCATATGTCGGGTTCAAACCCAGCCTCGGCCAAAAACTGCAAAAAATAAAAAATAAATAAAAAGAATGTATTATGGGGCTTGGCACCCATAGCACAGTGGTTACAGCACCAGCCACATACACCAAGGCTAATGGGTTCAAGCCTGGCCCAGGTCAGCTAAACAACAATGCTAACTAGAACAAAAAAAATAGCCAGGCGTTGTGGCGGGTGCCTATACTCCGAGCTACCTGGGAAGCTAAGGCAAGAGAATCAGTTGAGCCCATGAGTTTGAGGTTGCTGTGAGAGCTGTGTGATGATGCTGCAGCACTCTACAGAGGGCAACATAGTGAAACTCTGTCTCAACAACAAAAAAAGTCTTGTTTTAATGTCACAACCTAGCTCAGCACCGGTAGTTCAGTGGTTAGGGCTCCAGCCACATCGAACCCAGCCCAGGCCTGCTATATCAACAAGGACAATTACAAGAAAGAAATGGTCAGGCATTGTGGCGGGCGCCTATAGTTTCAGCAACTTGAGAGGATGAGACAAGAGAATCGCTTAAGCCCAGGAGTCTGAGGTTGCTGTGACGCCACAGTACTCTACCAAGGGTGACATAATAAGACTCTCAAAAGAAAAAATAAATAAATAAAATCATTAAAAATATTGTCATAACCAATAAACCAAAGTTTTAACCTACAACAATCAAAATTAGTAACAACACATAGCAAGAACTGTCAATTTGAACCACACCTTACCTCTATACCATCAAAACAGAGTTTGATAACTGGTACAAATGCCTCTTCCACAGCCTGTAGGGGAAATAAACAAATTTAGTGTCCCCGAACATAACTTAGCATAATACCTAACAAAAAATAAGTTCTCAGTAAGTAGCTTAAAAACAGACCAGAAATAAAGGTTCAAATTCTTGATTTCTGCCACTCATCAAATATGTGATCATGGCCAGATTACTTGATATTTATTTAGTTTGCCTCACGCTCCTAATTTGTGAGTTTATAGTTTTAGATTTGTTTTAAAGAACGTTGACAACATACAAATTAAGTGCTTAGCAAGGTCTGACACATTACAAGAGGTCAATGAATGATGGCTATATCATAAAATTCACTCAAATAACTAAATGAATTTTCTAACTCCTCCCCTTTTACCCCAAACATTTACGCACTCTTAAATCCTTTACTTCTTCCTGTAATTTCAACTTATCATAGAATGAGGTGAAAAAGTCACTTCGATCAACATGTCTTGGTGCAACACACAACGCATCAATATCAGCACCTAAAAAAGATTAAGCCCATGAACCGCTAATTAATATTACATGAAAATTATTTAGCATATTATCATAGCAGTATCTGATGCTGAGAAACTGTGTATTATTATACTAAAAATGTACCACCCTTTAATAAAAATTGCCAGACACTGGGGAAAATCATGATTTTAAATGATGAGGTATTTTTGGCCTGCAGCATCCTACATTTATAGAGGCCTGAGTAAACTGGGAGTACAAAGAAAGGTGGCTCAGACAGTATTTTCATGGTGTAGAAGGAATTATTCAAGCGTGTACTCAACATCCTGATGTCATTAGTCACATTCATTACTTAAAACAAAAAAAGCAGACTCAGCGCCCGCAGCACAGTGGTTATGGCACCAGGCACACACACAGAGGCTGGCGGGTTCGAACCTGGCCAGGGCCAACTAAGCAACAATTACAATTCCAACAAAAATAGCCAGGCATTGTGGTAGGTGCCTGGAGTCCCAGCTACTTGGGAGACTGAGGCAAAAGAATCGCTTAAGTCCAAGAGTTTGAGGTTGCTGTGAGCTGTAATGCCATGGCACTCTACCGAAGGCCACATAGTGAAACTGTCTGGAAAAAAAAAAATAAATTTGAAAAAACTCAGGAAGTGGACAGTAACATCTATACAAGTGTCAACTGGAAAAACAAAGTGTTGATTGGCTAGGAAAAAAAAAGCAAATGTACTACTAATGGGACAGAGTAATGAAAGCAGACACTTTTATAACAGTGATTAATGGGTAAAGAGTGCAGTGACTAATGGGTAAATTGTTCAAGTTTTATCACCTGTTTAAGTCTCAAACTCTGATCGGTTCTGTAAAAATAAAAAGTACTATGAGGAACAAATGTGATGAAGAACAAGAGCTTTAGCTCAGTGCCTAGTAAAGGGGAAGATTTCAATAAATATTCTGTGTGTTTATTTGCATAGAGAAAATATTCAGTGATTATCAATGGCTGTGGATACACCTTTTTGGTCTGATTTTGCTTAGCAGTTATTTTACAATTTGTCTATAACAGTATGGACAAAAATCTACAAGGCTGTCTTAAAAGCTTTAATTCATTTTTGTTCTGATTTCCAGAGTGATAGTCTTATGGTAGGAAATGATAGTCACATAGTAGCACTGTTCAATGAGAAAAATGTTCTGTTTTTTAATCTGTACTTTTCAACACAGTAACCATTACCCAAATGTGGCTATTGAACACAGAACATGTAGCTACTTCTAAAGAACTTAATTTTTAATTTTACTTAATACTGTTTTTCCACAGTCTAGGTATAGAAGGCAGTATTATGTTTTTCTTAATAAATTTATAGACTCTTTTGATGTATTCTCTCTTTCATCAAAAGCTAAGCTATATGATATACAAGTAAATGAGATAGGTATTTCATTATTATTTATTAATAAAAGGTATTCCTTTCAAAGATAAATAAAGCAATATTTACCTTTTGTATGTACTCCTAACCTGTAAGATCCAAAAGTAAAAATTTTTCCTCCAACATTTTCAATTACAGACTGTGGAAGATTCTGTTTAAGCAAACACATAATGGTTATTTTGCCAGTGGAACGTAAGGGCAAGAACCCGCCAAATTAAAAAAAAAAAAAACATACAAATGGTTTTTTACTCAGAGTAGAACCTTTAGTGAAGAAAGCAATGCATTCAAAATTTGTCTTCCTGGCCCTGAACTACTATAAATTACTAAACTCGGTACTTAGTGGCCCAGGTCATAAGAATGTTCAAACAAAAAACAATTTCATTGAGCACTACGTCAATATTTCCTTTTATCTTCTATTTCCTTGGCCTATCAAAACCCCTATTCAAGATCAAAATATAAGAGACCAACCCTTTCTCTCCCTCAAAGCATAATGTAAGAAGTGTTATGTCATACACCAAAACCCCAGAAGTATTATAAATTCAGGGACTCCTTTGTTTTTGAGATAAGATGTCACTGTGATCCAGGCTCGAGTACAGTGCAATGATTACAGCTCACTGCAACCTCAAATTTCTGGGCTCAGGAGATTGAGACCAGCCTGAGCCAGAGCAAGACCCAGACTCTAAAAATGGCCAGGTGTTGTGGCAGCTGCCTATAGTCCCAGCTACTTGGGTGGCTGAGGCAAGAAGATCACCTGAGCCCAAGAGTTTGAGATTGCTATGAGCTATGACATCAGGACACTCTATGAAAGGCAACAAGATAATGAATTAAGTAAAATTTAAATTTTACATAATTTTACCCAGAAAATATTATACATTCCTCTAACTACATATGAAATAAGTGGTTCTCAAGTGAAAATGATCCTATCTCCACCCCTGCTCCCTACCACCCAAGAAGACACTTGGAGACATTTTTTTGAATTATAGCTGGGGGTAGTGTGAAGGGGTATAGTGCATGTCATAGGAAGAGGCCAAGAATACTGTTTAATATCTTTTTTTTTGCAGTTTTTGGCTGGGGCCAGGTTCGAACCCACCACCTCCATTATATGGGGTCAGCGCCCTACTCCTTGAGCCACAGTGCCACCCACTATTTCTTATAATGCACAAAATAGCCCCCACAAAAAAGAAGTACCTTATCTAAAAATATCAATAGTGTCAGGCAGTGCCTCTGGCTCAGTGGGTAGGGCGCTGGCCCCATATGCCGAGGGTGGCAAGTTCAAACCCGGCCCCAACCAAACTGCAACAACAACAAAAAAATAGCCAGGCACTGTGGTGGGCGCCTGTAGTCCCAGCTACTAGAGAGGCTGAGGCAAGACAATCGCCTAAGCCCAGGAGCTGGAGGTTGCTATGAGCTGTGAAGCCACTGTACTCAATGCAGGGAGACAAAGTGAGACTCTGTCTCTCAAAAAAAAAAAAAAAAAAAAAATCAATAGTGTCAATATCTAATAAATAAATAAATAAATCCTGTATTAAATCTGAAACCTAACTAGCTAAAAAAGTTCTTTACAAAATGGCGACACAAAAGATCAAAGTTAATGAAGTCTAATCTCTTTACTTCCATTTTCTAAGCAACTTGCCACCTCCACATCCAAGGTATAAACAAAAGGACACATTCAAATTTGAGCATTAATTCATTTATCCAAGCAATTTTTCTTATCTAGCAACGAAGAACAGTACCAAGAATTATCAGTTCAGGCTTGGCACTCATACTTCAGTAGTTAGGGCACAAGCCACATACACCAAAGTAGGCGGGTTCAAACCCAGCCCAAGCCTACTAAAAAGAACAACAACTGCAACAAAAAAAATTAGCCAGGCATTGTGCCTGGCACCTACAGTCCCAACTACTTGGGAGGCTGAGTCAAGAGAATAGCTTCAGGGCAGCACCTATGGCTCAGTGATTAGGGCACCAGTACCATATACCAGGGTGGAAGGTTCAAACCCTGCTCCAGCCAAACTGCAATAAAAAATAGCCAGGCGTTGTGGCAAGCACCTGTAGTCCCAGCTACTCAGGAGGCTGAGGCAAGAGAATTGCCTAACCCAAGAGTCGGAGGTTGCTATGAGCTGTGAAGCCACAGCACTCTACCAAGGGTGACAAAGTAAAGTCCTTTCCAAAATTTCATTTTCTATCAGAAGCTCTATCCATAAGAAACATCAACTACATAAAGTCCACAATTTAGAATACTACAGCTGCCAAAGTTTAATCAGTTCTGACATACCTTTACACATTGTTTTAAGAAAACAACATTACAAATCTGAAACTTTTCCTCTAGGTTGGCATACTCCCTGTCCTATGAGGTTTTCTTCTACACTTGGTTCTCTTTATATCAATGTTTCAGTTGTATTATAAATATATATTTTGTACTATCCCCCAAAATTACCACTTCTTACGGTACTTTTAAAGTGAGTTCAATGAATTCCACACACAACTCTTTTAAGAATACATTTCTTGGCTCGGCGCCTGTGGCTCAAGCGGCTAAGGCACCGGCCACATACACCTAAGGTGGCGGGTTCGAATCCCCAGCCCGGGCCCGCCAAACAACAATGATGGCTGCAACCAAAAAA